ACATGGAGACTTTTTAGTGACTGGCTTGGAAAAAGTGACCAAGTCACTAAAAAGTGACTCGCTACTAGCCCTGAGATTTACAAGAGAGAGCCCGAGATCCTCTATACAGGCCATTACCACTTCCATCAGGTCTTTTCCGGTTGCGGTACTCTTCATTTGAACCAAGGTCGCCAATTCCTCTGTGATTTGAAGATTATCGTTAATTCCTCTAACAAAAATTGCGAGCTGAGCTGTATTTTTCACATCGGTACTTTCGTCGATAGCCAGTGAATAAAACGTGAAGAAGGCGCACTTTTCGCGGAGCGTAACTTTCATGTCATCAGCGAGAACCTTAACTCTTCTGGTCACTGTATTTCGTGACAAGCTGATGTTACTAAAAGTGGCTATTTCCTTAAAGCACACGATTTCAACAATAGCAGATATAGATTTTTTTCGAAAAATGTCTCACGTCTCAAATGCCATGTAGCACGTCTCTTACCGATGATAACAGGTGTTCAATAAAAAATGAGAATGATTTCAGTGCCGTCCAGTGCTGTTGTGAGAGCATCGCAACTAAGTTGCTTCGTACGGCTGACCAGGGGGCCCTTTCTCCAATATTCATTGACGTTTTTTTTTTGAAGAATGAAAAAATTATAATTTTTTATTGCACACCCGTTATGTGCTTACCTAATACATACAGTACCCGTTCGATTTTGGCCACAAAACCACAAAACCATACATTTTTCGCACGAGGTTCAATTCAGATACCGTGCCAAAATAGAAGTGATTTTAAAATGATGTGGTTTTGCTTCTTGTGATTACAATTTTTAATAAAAGATTAATGTTTACTAACGTCTAATGTCAGAAAAATGACTAACGGGGCTTTTCAAAACCAACGAAATTAAATTTAATAAAAAAAAACGTTCGATTTTGGCAACAGTAAATTGTCGGGCTTGTAATGCCAAAATCTAACAGGAACTTTATTTTATTTTCATCTTCAGATTTCATCAAAATTACAACAAAATGCAGAGCTTCAACTCTAAAAATAATGGCGTCCATTATTGCGAGCCAATCAATCTGTTAATTTATGTGACATTCATCAACTGGATTGCGTGCAGCCACGGTAAATGAAACCGCTGTCATTCAAAGCCGCACTCGCTCCTGCTGATCAAAGCCAAATTATTCCACACATCGACTAACCAACTAATATAGTTCGCTTTCCCTAATCCACATACGAGCGCGTGCCGCGGAATTTCACGACCAGCGAGCACTTAATTTCCAATTAATTGGCACTGAAATCCGACCCATCTGCGATAAAATGCTGATTAATTTTCATGCACCTCCTTTCGTGTGTCAATCCTCTCTCGATGCGTGCGCTGGGCGCTCCAATTTGCAACGGTTCCAACAATTATGGAATACAAATTGAATACGTTCCCCCTCTGCTCCTACCGCCCCACGCCTCATCCCGCCCGATGAATTAAGGTTCGATCAATTGATGCTTACATACCGTTTCGATTGCTCACTGGTTCCTCTGCAGCAACAAGTAGCTGGAATCTATCCACTTTGCAGTGCTCCGTGTGTGTGTGTGTTTGTCACTGATTCGCAGCTTTGGCCTTCTCCACTGCCAAATTCCTCTCACTTTGCTCTTTTCGCTTGTTTTCCTCAATATGGATTAACGCTGCCCCCTTACGGAAGATCTTTTACCCTTACACTTCTCCACTGACATTCTTTTACGACGGGGAAAAGGCCAACGCTAACTGAGGACACTCGATCGCCCCGAACGGATGTAGAATACACTCAACCGGCTTGACGTTCTCGGTTTCGACTTCCTAGACTTAACGACACGAGCACACACACAAACAAAAACACACCGCACCGGTTCTAGTAGGATTTGCACTTTTCACACATCACCTAGCGCTGATTCGGGTCATAAACTGCCGGAAATGATTTTTCGGCAGTCAATCAACGCTTGCTATTTGCCTTTTTCCACCAATTAATCGCCGACAATCGCACAATAACACAGCAATCTAAATTCGTTTGAAGCACTCGATCAGGGAAAAACAATATCAAAGTCGATCGACCAGTCGTGACGAAGAAGCGAAAACACTTGTTCAATTAGCAACCACAAACACTTGACGGAAACTTGGAATCTACGAGTATCGTACACATTCAAACCGCGCTGGTTTTCAGACACCACTACCAGGGAAAGGTTTTCACACTTTTGAACTGCGCGCGGTGATTTCCCCGGGATTAAGCGACGAACCCGAAACTGCTGCACTGCTAAATTGTGAGTGATCTATGATCTTTTTGCTCCGTTACGAGAGCCGTCGTCGTCGTTGTCGTGATTCGAGACGGAGAGCGAAACTGCGGAAAGCAAATAAAACACACCGACTGACTGCACTCTGCTACTGCTCTGCCACCGAACCGCGCACACAGGTGAAAACGATTGAGGAAAAAATAAATCAACACACGCCGCAAGTACGATCGAATGATGATCGGCCGTGATCCAGCGTTCCGCGCGCGAACAAGTCTCGGAGAGAACTGACTGGCTTCGCTGGGTGGTTGGAATGTAAACAGTCCGACCGAGAGGCGTCGGGTTGCGATCGCTGCGCGCTGCAAGTGGCGTGGATCGGCATGAGAGTGTGTGTGTGTGTGTGTGTGTGTGTGTGTGGGCGGTTGCTGGCAAGGCGAAGTGTTTGAAAGCTTTGGAAGAGTTGAACATCGTGGGGCGAAAAGCATTGGAGCTTTTTGGCTCAAGTTGGGATGGAAAACGATAGTTATAGATGGTTGAGGCTCGTGTCCAATGCGTTGAAAGAGTATTAGGGTAACTGATGATGGTTGGACCTATTTAGGCCGGTTTCACACGACGTCAACATTCATGTCGCATTTTTTTTATGAATTCAACATATAATTATAAAAAAATGCGTGATTAGGGGAAAGATCTACCTTTCGTGTTTCTAATAATAACATAAAAAATTAAATATTATGAACAAATGATTTTATAAAAGGTTTTTATTCAGCAAAGAATTTTGATGTTGGTTGGACCTAAAAAATGATGATGGTTGGACCTATTTTTGCAAATGCTAGTTTAGCCCATATTTGTTCAAAAACTTTATTTAGAGCTTATTGGTATCATGAAAAAACACTTTTTATACAGTTTTTATGAATTTGCTATTTAAAAAAATCAAGAAATTTGAGTTTAACTTCGTTTTAAAAAAAAGTTCACTTTCCACGCATTAGCTATTCATCATGGCTCATTTTCTCGGAAAATCATTGACGCGATTTGGAAAATTTTAAACGTCAAACTATAGGTATTGTGGTCCCATTGAAAGCTATCGAATATTTTTGGAATCGGTCAACTGGTTCCGGAGATATGGCCGGAACAAGTTCCAGGGTATATGGAATATGGACCTAATTTTGACATGGAAGGAATAAAACCTATCATTCGATAACAAGATCAATAACAAAATTGAGTGCCTTGGACCACATTGGCCACTTCCGGGCATGTTTTGGGTACCCCCGGGGAATTTAGGGGCTTAAAATGACAGAATATCAGAACTTAATTCCGGTTTTATAGTTCTTTTTTCTCCTAGGAGTTTTTTTTTCGGAAATATGTTTCAGTTAGCAATTTTTAGTTTGTTAACATTTTATTTCAAATTAATTCACACATAGAAGGTGTATGAGAAGTGCTTAATGTAAATTCATATTAACAGATTCTTTCGGCGCTTTCGTGGTAGTTCGGAAATCGTTGGTTACCCTTTCAGCCAACCTGACGATGGAATTCCTCCTTTAAATTTTCGCCCAACTAGTGACGCAAGGTCTTTAGCAGCTTTCCAGATCTTTTTGGCCGTCTTGGCACAGCCAGAAGCAGCGCACATACAAACCCAATCCGCTAGCTCGTTCTCCAAATCAACACTCAACACTATTTCCCTTCCATATTTCTTGCCGTGGCTTCCCTTAATTTTTGCGTGAAGTGTCGTTTTCGGAATATTGTACCTTTTCTGTGCCTGATACGCGGTAAGTGATTTATTTCTTGCTAAAAGAACAGCCTCTTGAAAATTTTCGACCGTATAACTCTTTTCTTTAGCCATTTTTTCAATCAAAGAAACTGATCACTCGGCCAAAACGAAATCGAATTTCAAATCAGCTGCGCATGAAGGATGTAGACAAACCGAAGCGCACCTAGCGGCCGTCTTAGGAAACACATAGGTCCAACCATCATCATGCGTAGGTCCAACCATGATCATATTTATCTATTCGAATTTCGTCATTTATTCAATCATTTTAGTGAAACCAATAGATAAATGGCGTACTAACGTGTTGTTTACACCTTAAAGCAGTATTTTACCGCATGAAAATAAAAATAAATGTAAAAAATATTCCATTTTTGTATGTTTGAAAGTACGGCATGATGACGAGCAAATGTGTGAAAAGTGAACTGTTTTGAAAACACATTGAAACTCAATTGTTTTGAAGTTTTTTTCTATAAAACACCCATGCAAATTGAAGAAAAAGAGTTTTTTTTATGATAGTAAAGTGGTCCTTGAAAAAAAAAAAAAAAATTAGCGAAGATTGACTAAATTACGATTGAAAAAATAGGTCCAACCATCATCAGTTTTTCGATAAGTCCAACCAGAATCAATTACCCTAATATCAGATTTAAAATTATTTTCTTGTGTGCTGCCCAAAAAATAATCCTAGAATGATAGAAAAATACAAACCAAAACGTCAATTAAAAAAATCTATAGTCAAAGTGAAAACTTCTGCGATCTTTCCAATTTGGGTGTGACTTTAATCATTTGATCGGCTTCTCCACCTTCCTGTAGCAGTTCAAAATCAATCGGAACGACGCACTGTGGGACGGATCACGTGTATCCCGGGATTTTGAATTTGATACACTTTTTCTTCTTTAAATCTTTCCTGGAATATCTGTAGCAGCATTTGAATCCAGAACTTTCACATCTTATTAAATATATATCTTCCCTTCGTTTGCCATTTATTCTGATTTATCGAAAGTATTGCACACATACATCACTCCCAAGTAAAAATAAGGGTTTATGAGCGTTCTGTAGACTATGAATTAGAGTTGTAGCATGCTTTAAAACCATGATAAAGCTTGCAATGTTACTTGGGCTTTTTGTATATGATCATTGTACAAGAAGCACTTGCGAAAAATACGATCTAGCAGCGAAACAAAGCGTGAACATTTTGATCAAATTGTATAATCGTGTATCTAGATGGTACAGGGACGAAAAAAAGGTTGAGCGTCGTGAGATGTCCATCATTCAAAGTTGATCGAAAAATCATTGAAATGCATTGTTAAGACGGTTCGAAGTACGATATGAAGCTAGTCTCGACTGATAAAAAGACTCAGTATTTGCAGTGTTTAGAGTCCTTTCTTAGATTCTAGAGCTAGCGGAACCTTACAAAATGCTTTGTTGTGATTTGTATTGTTTGCGAATCATCTCTTTCTGTGAGTGAGCAGGCGAATCAAAAGGCCTTTCTAAACACAGGCGAAATTGTCCACGCTTCATATTTGTATGTGTAGGCTGTATTGTAAATGGTTCATAACATTGTGTTGCATTATTATTTTCTAATGATAGGATTTAGGATTGTTCTAGAGTATTTAAGAGAAGCAATTGTATATATGTTATCAAGTTTACGTTTCACCTCCGACCAAGGCAGGAAGCCTCTTGGAGGCAATAAAATAGTACTAATTCAAAGTGTAAAATGTGTTTATTCTGATGCCCTGAGACGACAAATATCTAAATTTGCTGATCTCCACAAAACACAACGCAGGGCCACATCCTGGACATTACATGCTTACTACTTCCGGAGGAACTTCGATATGTCGCCGACTTCTATCTTAGCTTCCATAACTCTCCCTCGCTGTTAATTTCTTACCATTTCTTATGTTCACATGTATGCATTACCTTTACCCGTTGGTATGTAATCTATGTAATCCGAAAGCATGGCAAAATAGTTTTTACAAATACATCAGAAATCACCCACCACAATCATCATGATCTGCATGGACTATTGTGAGATTTGGCAGAGAAGTTTATGGAAGTTCGTGGAACTTCGTAAATGTTCAGGGACTGTTATAGAGCTTCAAGGAACCTCATAAATCTTCAGGATACTTTGTAGAATTTTAGAAAACTTCGTTGAAATTTTTGAATTTTTTTTAGAAGTGCGGCAAATAGATGTTTCGTTAACTCTGTGAATGTTCAGCAAACTTTGTACAACTTCATTGAACTTCGTAGAAGTGCAGAGAAGTTTGTTGAACTTCAGCGACATTTATAGAAACTTAGCGAATTTTAGAGAAATTTCGAGAATCTTGTAGAAACTCGCAGAACTTCGGTGAATCGTTTCTTTAATTCCATGGAACTTCGTTAAATTTCAGGGAACAGCGTAGCAATTCAGGAAATTTAAGTGAAATTTAGAGAAAGTCACAGAGCTTAAGAAAATTTCGTTTCAATTCCGAGAGCTTTGTTCAAATTCTGGAAAACTTCATAGAAGTGGGAACTTCTGTTTGGGGAACTTTGTTGAAGCTTCAGGAAACTTCATAACCCAAGCAGGAACGGATAGCTAATCGATAGCAAATGAATATCGTAATGTGGTATGATAACAGATTTTGGTATGCTTGTGGTATAAAGCCTTGTTTTGATAAATTTTAGCTATCGAAATATTTTGTAAAATATCAAATGAATACCAAAATAACAAAATGTGATCCTTCAGTTTTAAGACAATAACACCTAGAAGAGCTATTGAATTGGTATTAGAAGACCTTCAGAATAACAAACTATGGTATTCTGGCATCTAAAAATGCGTCTGTTATCCGTTTGCTATTGTAATAACTAAATTATTTACTTGTTCGTTATTCGTATAATATTTTTGAGGTATTATTTTTGGTATTTTACCTCTTATGTCAGCCGCACTAATACCATATTTAGGTTGCCAGTTATGCTATTTTCATACCTGCATTCGGAAAAAGTGTTCCAGGGCCTTCATTACGGGGCACTTCGTCAATGGAAACTTTGCAGAAAATCATCGAAAATCCTAAAAATTTAAGAATCTTTATAATAGTGCAGTTGTAGAAGTTTATTACATGGAATTTTATGAAGGATCAGGCTTCGAAACAATTCTACAAACTTTCTAGAAGTTCGGTAAAATTTGTAGAAAAAAATCTTTGAAGTATTGGGAACTTCGTAGAAGTCTACGGAAAATCCCAGGAATTCATCGTGCATTCATTTATCCATAGAGGCTTTGAACTGGCACTGAGTTTAAGTTTAAGAAACTTCTTGAAAATACAGGAATCATGATCTGCAATTGTTCAAACATTCAAATTACTTCTTCCAGACATCCTTCCAAGACAGAAGTTTGATTAGAGAGTATTTAAAGGATATACAGCTGGCCGGAGATTTAAAGCCATCTGGATATTTTTCAAGGCTTCAGGTTGATCAATTCATATTTTTAATATATTCAACAACTTCAGTCTATAAAATTCAAATGACGGCTCTA